GTCGTAGTGTGCATCCTACGTGAGGTCGTCGAGGGCGTATCCCGTGCTGTCTGAGGCGATTTCTGATGGTCTGGGCGGAGACGCGGCGAAGACCTGGGACGTTCTCTGCTGTTTGTGTTGCTGGGACGGCCCGGTTACGTAAATGGAACACCCGGATGTAGCGGTCCTGTGCAGCATTGGTTACCCGTGGTCTACCACTCCGAGGTCGGTCGCGGGTCGAGCCCAGTTGATTGTAGCGCCTCCATAAACGGGAAATTGTTGTGTGATGCACGTTGAAGTGTCTTGCAACTGATGACTGAGATTCGCCAGCCTCAAGACGTCCGATGGCGATGTTCCGGTCAGCTTCGCTAAGTCGTGGCATGTTGAATTCGTCAGTAAACTGGCGTTGAAAGTGAATTGAACACGTTAAACTGCCTTCCTCATATACCCTACAAACTGGTGCATAGGTGAAGCAACTTTCACGTGCATATCGTTCGAAGTGTCATTTACACGTGAAAATTTCATGATATTTTCAAAAACCATCATCAAACAACAATATTTCATGAAATGGTGTGTTTGAGCGATACTTAATGGATATGAACAAGTATACATTATGTTTGGTTAAAGTAACCGGGTTTTGTTTGCATAGAAATAAAATACAGTTAATTTTAAATTTCATTATCACCTGTGCGTTTCTTTTTTTGCAGAGTATAGAATCATGCTGTACTTTGATCTAAACAAGATAAGTTAAGTTATAAACATGACATTATTTCCCGAGAGTCAGCTGATACCGGCTGGGTTATTCTCACCAGAATGACATATATACGATACCGTAACATCACAAATATATCCGGGCTTGTCCGTAACATTATAAATATATACTCAGCAAACGAAGTCAAGGACCACCCCCAATTATCAATATTTTATCTTATAGTTCATATTATTATCTATGTCTTACTTAAATATGGATTATTTTGGTGTTTCTTAACGTTTTTGTTGAGTATATATCACTCGAAATTAGTACAATATGTATATAGAATAATGTAACATTGATATATCCATTACCGTAACATCACGTAACAAAATATATGAAAACTATTGTAGCACAACTATTACGGTAACAATATGAATATTCATTATTGTAACATTATAAATATTATACGTTACCGTAACATCATACAATATACATGTGCACTACCTGCGTCTCGCGACATCTTGGGTTGTATACTCCTCGGGGAGTATTGAAAATGGAGTGCACCATCATCCTTTAATGAGTGAGTGAGTGAATTGAGTAAGGCCGTATCAGCAATTTTGCAACAATTCGTGTCGAACAAACTTATCCATTACCGGGATAATAAGAATGCAGATTTTAGGGGAGACATTGTGTGTGTTGGTCGGTTTGTTGTTTAACGCCGCACTCAGCAATATTCCAGCTAAATGGCAGAGGTCTGAAGATAATTGAGCCTGGACCAGACAATCCAGTGATCAACGGCATGGGCATCAATCTACACATTTGGGATATGGTGACATGTCAACCAAGTCAGCTAACTTGACCATCCGATCCCGTTAGACGTCTTATACGACAAGCATGGGTTGCTGAAGATCATTTCTAACCCGGGTCTTCACGGGTATTGTGTATGTAATTATGCCCTTATCAAGATGAATGCAACCGCTGCTGCTGCCGCTGCTGCTGCTGATATTACTGGTAATAGAACTAAAGTCACTTGATCCGGGCAACTGTTGACACCACAGATGACTCGGTGAGTACAATCACTGACAACGTTGTATAATAATAACCTGACCTATTTCAAAAACCTAATCTGATAAGGATGTATGTCTGATAACATCGTAAATAGACTGCGTACAGAAAGAGCACAAAGCAATAACCACATACGGGATAATACACAGCAATATTTTTCGAGCGTGAACGTCAGTGAGCATTCGTCAACACAGTGTATGACTATCGGCTGTGAGTTCCCAAACGTTCATACCTAGCGTCACACAAGGTGAAGAACAAAGGGGTTTTACGTTGTGGTCAAGGTCATTGCACATATGCAAAGACGTTCATGCGAATTTGAGGGTGTGACTTGTCGTATTAGTCGGGACTTGATTTGCTGGTGATTAAGCAACATGTCGATGATATCCTATACTGCAGTTTGACATGAATACCAGAAACAATATACATGTACTACTTCCCTGACGACTAACGGGACCGGCAAGTCAAAACATTGATTACACAACAGTCTCGTCTCCTGTTGACTGGGTTCCGTCCTATTGCGCAACTTAGTACAATAACCAGTCCAGAATTTCTTATGAAACAAGTAATTGGAATTCAGTGTAACCATAGTTGTTTGTGATGTCTATTTTCACTTTCAAAATTCAGATCGGCTGAAAAGTAGGTCATTGTCAGAATAGGTTAATGAGACTCATGTTTCGGTTTGTGGTCAGGCTCACTGACTTGCTTGATGCATGCCATTGTATCCCAAACAGATGCTCATGATGTCAATCACTGGATGGTCTGGCCCAGACTCGATTATATACAGACCGCTGTCACTGGCCCGTTATATTGCTGAGTACGGCGTTAAACAACAAAGAAAGTTCTGTCCCTGTTCACCCATCAGTAAATGGGTATCCGGTAGGATGGGGCGACTGTAAATCTTCCAGCACATTACAGGCAGGCTGGTGTGTATACTCCCCAAAGATGAGATTGAGCTGTATTGAAGTGGTGTTGCAATTGTGTAGCGCTTTGACCACGTTCTGGAGGAGGTAGTCCAGCGCACTATAAGTACTCACAGTTTCTTTGCTGCTGGTATACAGACCGCTGCATTGTTGGTGTTGATAGCGGATCCGCTTGGCTACTGTCTGTGGTCTTCTGTATTGTTCTGCAACTTGGCAAAGAACGTTGCTGCTGACGTTGACATCAAACTACCGTTTGCGTTGGCTCATCAAACTTTTCAACCGTATATGTCGGTATTAGTATCAAAACGGCTTGGTTGTTTACAATTAGAAGACATACGGCGAATATTCGCTGATTAAATCTAGTACCCAAAACGTATCTTAGATAACTTAAGATAAAGGAAATCTGTTCATACGTTACCGCTACGTTACCTGCGACCAACATGATTGGGATAAATAGTTGCATGTTGACATTAGTGTTTGGAATTAGTTGAAATCTCACAATTGATGATTGATTCATTACCAACGTACATTCATCGAAAAAAATTGGTTAGCGTCATTTTTCAGATTTTCCTATCCAGGTTGTTATTGCAGATATGTATAACATGATGCAGCTTGCTACTTTAAAGTGATGACTCATATATCATGAACATAAACGTCCTGGAGTCTTCAAGAAATATTCAGTCATGGGGGGATTTTCAGTTAGTGGAGTGAGTTTTCTAAGAATTAAACACGTTTTCAGGCCCTGACAACTTCTAAGATATGTTCCATTGTCAAGTATTTCGAAGACTAAAACAGTAGTTCCAAAATCGTTTATGTTCGATTATGAGAAAATGTGATCGATTGCTTGGTCGTTTGGTCACTGCGACCAATCTTCGATTATTTCAATTAATCGGAAAACCACTAGTTGACATGCCTCTGTGTGAAATAGACCTTGTAAGGAACAGTGCCACTTGCATATAGGTTGAAGAATTTGTAGAAGCTTATTCTTGTGTTTCACACATTTCAGTTTCATAACTTTAATCTTGACATTTCGCAGATACAGTTTGAAGGTTACACATTCGTATATCTATGCAGAATGTACGGCCACATATCAAGGAAGTAGTGCGCAATGACACGCACTTCGTGTTAAATATCTAAGTTCAATGTCACGTATACATCCGTGGCAGCAAAGGTACACTGCATTCCACGCTTGACCTGAAACACGTAATGACCAAATGGTCGTTATGGTCTCCTGTGGGTCATTTGCTCATGCAATCAACCATCGGTTTTTGCAGGTCTAGACTCGATTATATACTGGTCAGTGTGATATATAGCTATAATTATATAGCTACTATAGTCGCGTTGGTTGCAAACATTTAGTCATTTAAACCCAATTTGAATGTTTTGGGAGATCCGTTTTCCCACTGCGTATTATGAAGCATATGCATATTGACTTTCTTTTTAAAAATATCTTGGAGACGATATTTTTCGAATTTTATTTACTGATGACATATCAGCAGCATGTAAATAATGTACAATCGGGTGTAATTAAGGTCAGATAAAGCGAAAGCAAATCTTGACATTTTCCCAAGGTAGAAAATATTGTTAATGTTCATATGATCAGGACAGTGAGAGTGACATCTAATGATATGTTTGGAACACGAGTGACATGACGTCTGTGGCGCCACAATTTGCTGTGTGTTGCGGCCTTTAGCTATATCAGGATCCACTGCCCGCTGTTTTGAAGCCCAGATTCTCCCTAATTATTACCACTCACTCACTCACTCACCCACTCATATTCAGATCGTATATTCCACGTATATCAGATCGTATATTCCACTCACTCACCCACCTACCCAATCAAATTTCGCCCATCCACCCACCCACCCACCCACCCACACACTCACGCACTCACTCATTTTATCACTCACGCACTCACAATGTGCATTTTATCTAAGAGCTGACATCACGTTACATTCTGTCCATGAAAAACAAATACCTTGAAGTACATGAAATCAAGGTGTCAGTCATAGAAAGTAACCATTCCCCAATAAATCAATGCACTTAAGCCTAATGCATCAGGGCAATTGATTTGGTATTATTTCTGTTTGTTTAACAATCATATTAAGCCTTAATGTTCCACTTGTTATGATGTTGGACAAGTGCCTTCCCACAGAGACCCATTGCTGTTATCTGTACGCCGAGGCTAGCACTGCAAACGTCGCGAGAGAGTTGCCACCTGTCACTTTCTGAGTCTGATAAGTTTGTTCTGACACGGACAAAATTGTTGAAAGCAATGGCCGTCGGTCATGTTATTTACCTGTCAGCTCGTCTATAGGTTTTTGGCATATTGTTATGCGATCATGTTTCTGTTGGTGTTCTTGCTGTTTGTAACGGCAGCGGTTCCAGTTGATAGACCGGAAATACTTGAAGGTTACGAGGATCATCGCTTTACAGAATCTAGTAGGAATGATGGAGAAACGATGGATGAAATTTCCTTCTTCGATCAAAGATCCGTTGGAAGTTACCTGACAAGATCTTGGGATGGATCAATCATGGTTGCACCCGGACTTGAAAAATCACCAGTGCGTAATGAACTTTACGAAAACGGGAAAGAAGAGTTCAGTGATGTGAATATGAATATTGATGTGCGATCTTCAAGGAGAATAGACCAAACAGAGACTCCATCCACTTTGATCTCATCTGACCATAAGCAGAGGGTGAAAAGAAACGCACACGTAGTGCTTGGAAGGAATGTCATCATGCCCAAGGAGGTAGAGATGGATGTGACAACTACTCCTAAAAAAGGTAATACACCCTTACCCTTAGAACTCTTTCATGAAGTGAGTGCTACGTCCACAGACATAGAGGATACGTTATATGGCTCTGAGCATACTAAGCTGAAGGAGACTCAAAACCTTGAATTTGATCCTTGGGTATTTGAAGAGGAAATTGGAATAGATCCTATTAACTGTTTCACACGTCTGTCCTTTTCTAAAGCGGCCATTCAGGAATATACTGTCCAAACAAGCGACGACACACGGCTCTCAAACATAGATATAAGCATCATGAATGTGAACTACTCTAAACCAACTGACAGTACAGATTCTGTTGTTGAGTTTCATGTAGAGAGACAGTTTATGGAGGTTGATGACGAGGAAGTCAGCGACTCTGAGGATTCCAATTTCCTTGCCAGAGAAGTAGAGTATGCTCCTGCAATGTTAGCTCCTCCTTCAGTTGACTGCCACTTCCTAATGCCTTACAACAGACAGTGGATCAAACTTGTTTCAGCATGTCCACAATCCTGGCATAATAGAACTATAGAACGTCTGTGTGTGCCTAAGTATGAAACCGAGGACGATAATACCATAGACATGTTAAACCTTCCAGTTCAAGACCAGCATGGTGTAGTCTACAGAAACATATTCTGCGCCAAGTGCAATCAGGCACTGAACACCCAGGCTTGGGATGTGGTTGTTCTATGTAATGGAGTGTCATCGTTTTTCTTCATCGATGGCAATGTTCTGATGACACTTATGCCCACCCTGGCAGCTGCAAGACACTGTAGACAGACACTTTGGCCACAACAACCAGAGAAGGTGGAAACATGTTTAACGACAAGAGGTCAAACTCGGAAGCGGAGAGCTAACCAAAGGAATAGAAAGAGTGATGAAACGGTTACCTACCCAGTGTCATTTTCGGTTCTTATGAATTTTGGGTTTGATGGTAAGACTCATATTTTGTTTAGCACAACTCATGAAGAAATGAGCACTGGTAACATGAATAGATGTCCTGAACCAAACCAAGTCTACGATTCTAGGAACAGTCAGTGTCGAGAAGTGGTATGTCCGGCTTACTACACGCTTGTGGATGATAAGTGTCTCAGGGACGTGAATGCAGGACCTGCGTCAGTAGATGGGAGTTTGCCCAATGTTCAGACTCTCACTCATCTCCCTGATGTTGCTGTGATTACCCTGATGGTAAACGTCACATACAGCAACCTTCTGGCATTGCTTTCTCCTGACTTCAAATCCATAATGGTAGAAGGTATGGCTGCCTTACTAAATATCAGTACAGAAAGAATTCAGAATTTAACAATGGACATGGCAAACACATCCATCTCCGAACCCGAGGTTGCTGTTCAGACTCTTGATGAGAAACCTGTCCTTGAGCCTAAGGAGACAGAAACAAGCAGAAAGCCGCTTTTTGATGACCCTTCTTCCGGGGAAGCTAATGAAACATCAAAAAAAATGCTGGGTACTTCTCCACCAAGTACTGGTTTACCAGATATTGTTAATGCCAAGACGGGCCCTGATCCAGACTTGCCTGAACCGATTGCCGATGCTGGTGCTGCTGATGCTGATGCAGGTGCTGATGCTGATGATAATAACGATGACGACAGACAAGTGAAAAAAGAAAAATTAAAAGTAGAATCTGGAGGAAAAGAAGCAAAGACGGAACCATCACTCCACGCCAAGAGACACACAACTCCTACTACACAACCAAAAGATGGGTTTGACATTGAGAAGACTATAACTCTAAAAATCAAATTCCTGCTTCTTCCACCAAGATCCTCAAGACTACAAGAGGGGACAGTGTCAAGTGTAAAAGAGAAAATGAACAGTCTTTTTAATCAAAATAAATTTATGCTTTCCCTTAATGGAACTGAAGTGACTGTTGTAAATATGGTTCATTCGGATCACCCTAAACTGAAGAGTACATTCTGCAGCAGGGGCCAAATGCAGTTTTTCTTTGCAGATCAGGTTGATATCATCAATGCTGTGGACCGATCGGGCAATAACACAATCACTCACGTCTTTGTCAAATCTACCAACAGTATATACGGTCCTGGAAAGTTTGATCTGACTCTATGGGTGGCAGGCAACGTTGGATCTGATGCTAACCTCACAGACGCTATGGGTTATGCATTTGTATGCGTCATGCCAAGGATATCAAACAGAGGGTGTGGCAGGTTTAAGATTTCAGCGGACAAATATATTCTATTGCGTAACAAGTCAATTATACTCGGAGAAAGATTGTACAATATGACCGAGTATGAATATCTTGATGAGTCAAGTGGAATCATTGAGACGTGTGTGCCAAAGTCAATACTACAATCACAGTCAAAGAACGACTCTTATCATTTTGTCCAAGGCTGTGACATGGGTTTTGAAAGATTCATCAAAGCGGAAGCCTACATGACCGCAGTGTTGGGAAGGATCTCTATCGTAGCTTTGGCTATAGTCCTATTGACTTATGGTCTGTTTCCGAAGCTCCGGAATCTACCAGGCGTTAATACCATGAACCTCACTCTTGCGCTGCTGATAGCCGAGAGTATATTCATTATTGGGGAGGGAAGAGCAGCGTTGCCGCTGGTGTGCAGTGTTGTTGCCATTCTCCTCCATTATTTCTTCCTCGCCTCATTCTTCTGGATGAACGTGATGTCCTATGATCTGTTCCGTACATTTGCTAACAAAATCTACGTTCTTCCACAAATACGAGAAAAGAGGAAATATCTGGGTAAATATGTTCTGTATTCGTGGGGTTCTCCGGCAATTATTGTTACTATCTGTGTAATTTTACACTTCACTAAAATCATACCTGGTGTCGAAATTGGATATGGAGGTCATGTGTACGAACCCGAACCAGAAGACGTTAGCGTAAACATGACTTCAGAAGATTCGAACTCAACAGAGGAGGATGTACAGAACGTTGAGTCCCTTGGATGCTGGATACAGAATCCAATAGCCTCCCTGACTGCATTTGGGGCCCCGATTGTAATAATATTTCTGATAAATAGTTGCCTGTTCGTGAAGACGATTCTTTGTATCAGAAAAACTGCCAAATTTACCAATGACCACACAAGAAGATCCTCGGTGAACCGACGTAATGGCCGCAATGACGTCATGTTGTATGTGCGCATGTCTACTGTCATGGGGTTCACATGGATCTTTGGACTGGCTTCCTCTATTGTCAGCGCTTTCTTCACTCCTCCCACAGTCGTTGTTTGTTACACGGAGCACATCCTGGGTCTCCTATTCGTAACTTTCAACTGCTCCCAAGGTCTCTTTATTTTCTTTGCCTTTGTCACCAAGCGACGTGTATTCTATCTGTATAAGGGACTCTGGATCCGACTTAAGCATAGGATCAAGTTATGGGAAAATATTAGGCGGAAAAGAAGCACTTCAGGGTCCAACTCCTCATCATCGACCACATCATCTACAACAACTGTTTCAACTATCAGCTAGATGCACGTACAGTTTCATGACTGTTGAATGACGAAGTGGATCTCCAACAAGGAGTACGTAAGTTAGTGACTTCACCACGTCTTGCCTTGATGAATGATTAGACAATGCGAAATGTGACTTATGTGACCATATGTTCATGTTGAATGAATAGGACACATTTGAGGACCTGGGACATGATATGTGGTATCTGACGACAGGGAAAGAATGAGTCTTCAGAGGATTCAAATTCGCTGAGGATATCACCTCGAAAACGACGCTCCATAGAATGAGAAGAAGGAGAAGAAGAAGACATAGTAAATGTCAACCTGTGAAACATTTCTATCATTCTTGCCAGAACTGCTACTATTGAATATGTGGCAAGAAAACTTTATATGCTCTGTGCATGCACTACAATACTGAAGAATGGCATTGATATATACAGTCCATGTTGGTCGACCAGCGATGTTGTACTCCCCTACTATGACCAATACAAGACTATTGGATAACAGAGACTGATTAGCACTTTGTACACTTCCTGTGTAATGACATACATCTGGTTGAAGATGGCGAACTTTTCTGGTATGAATATACACTTATATTACCTAACAGTTAATACATGAATGTGCGTAATACATAAATCCCTTCAGAAATATTGCTGGGCTCACGTTAGCCAGCCGTTGCTTATGCACTGCAAAGGGGTTTCATTATGTTCTGAATGTCATGGTGTTGTGAAAACTAGTAATGTCTCATGTTATTATGATGTCTTTTGATTTGGTTTGAAAATTTAAAAGAAAATGTTCAAAAACACTTCAAAGATAACAAAGAGATTGCTTGATTTCTTTGATGTTATGTTTGATTTTCCTTTTGGTGTTTGATGTTGAAATGATATTAGATTAGATATTAGATATACTACAAACAAAAAATATGGGAACACCCTAACATTTGATAGTCATATATAAACTGAAACGTGGTGAGGTCATTTATACTCTAAGGTAAATGCAACTTTTTGTTTGCTTACTTAAAAGGCACTTTAAACGACATGTTGGAACATGCAGTGAAGCAACTGATTCAATATTCGTTGAGTTTGAGTGAAATGAAACATTGTTAAAAATAGCGATAAAAAGGGTGCTGAAACACACCAGCACCATGTTTGATTCAAACGCCCAAACACAACAGCCTGGTGCATGTGGAAGACAGACTTCCCGTGCGGCTTGGGATATTGAATCAGTTGCTTCACTGCATGTTCCAACATGTTGTTTAAAGTGCCCATTAAGCACACAAAAAGTTGCATTTACCTTAGAGTATAAATGACCTCACCACGTTTCAGTTTATATATGACTATCAAATATTAGGGTGTTCCCTTATTTTTTGTTTGTAGTATATTTTAATCCCAGTTGGTGTTGTGTTGTAAAACGTGTGACGCAAATATCTTCAGTAAATAGGTTTGACTAACACTGTTCTTACATGAGGTAACCAGTAAAGGTCCGGGTTAGAATTGATCTTCAGTAACCCATGCATGTCGCAAAAGGCGACTAACGGGATCGGGTGGTCAGGCTCGCTGACTTGGTTGGCACATGTCATCGTATCCCATTTGCGTATATAGATGCTCATGCTGTTGATCACTGGATTGTCTGGTCCAGACTCAATTATTTACAGACCGCCTCCATATAGCTGGAATATTGCTGAGTGCGGCGTAAAACTAAACTCACGCACTCACTCTTGTTTGAAAGACAAAAACCATTTGTCATCACTCATACAAGAATATTACTATTTCGAGACACTCGAAATAACTCACTGACTGACTGACTCACTCACACATACTTACATAAGGTATATATTTTTTACAATAGTTATGAAACACAGTCTTAGACCAAGGTGTAATTTTAAATCAAACATGGTGCCTAACAGCTTTAACAAAATGCCAATTGTTTTTTGATGTTCAAATTAAAAAGTAGGAACGACGAACAGTTTTGTCTTAGATGATGATGTAAAGACGTTGTGGTAATTTTAATTTTTTAAAAACTGTATACAATTTATTTCTAACTGACAGGAAACCCAAAATGAAATAATATCCTATCACACTACAAACGCGTTCATAGTTATTAGGATATCATCTTTATAGATAGCGAAGTCCTTTAACATGGGACCAAACACATCTGGTGCTAGAACACCTCACTGGGTATTACATTTGTTATTGCGATGTCAATAAACCAATTTATTCAAGCACGCGAATGTTAAAAGAAACATGACAGACAAAACTTTTGTTGTTTTCATGAATACTTTAAGCTGATGACAAGAGACAATTTTTTTTCTATGTTTAAGAAATAAGAGTACATTGTACGCAGCCGACGATATTATCAGCATGTGTTTATGATTCACTTTCAGTCATCAGGTGTTGTTGAGAAGGTGATCGTATCTCGCCCGGCGGATCACCTGTCTTTTATAGACGATAAGAATTTAATTTGTGAGGTCACAGATAAACGTGAAACTATATCAGTAAAATATTCTGAAATGTCAGATTCTAGATAAGATGCTTTGTCCATTTGTGAGCTGGGCATGAATTGTGAAAGGCATTCCTGTGTTCCTTGACTGATCATCATCCAATGTTCGACCTTTGAGGGATAGATGATACAGAACTGTAGCTGTAGTCAGATTCTATTTTATGGAATTATCATTAATTTCACATTAACTTATTTTTAACGTGCTGCGGGATCTAAATGTATTGACCTTATTCCACTTTCACACAAATACTCCTGGAACTGAAGTTTATTTAGTCGTTTTTCATGTATCCAAATATGCAATGTGTCGTTTGTAATAATTACGTTTCATATGAAGAAACTCTTGATTTAAACGTCAGAAATATATGAGATGGCACCGATACCAGCTGAAAAACAATTACGGGAAAATGCTTTTCAAGAAGATGGGAAGCAATGTATACCAGCAAAGTACAATCAGACAGAGAAGCCACGGGGAGAGTAATCAAAAGAATACTGCCATGGAACTGTCACAAAATTGTCGTTACATAATTGAATCCGCGTTTTAATTTTGATATCAGTATGTAAAAATGTATTTCATTAGTAAATTCTGCAGGATACACTGAAAAAAAGTAAAAGGTACTATTCCAGGTGTATGTATCCAGGTTCACCGAGCTTTCGAGCTGATATTGTTTCGTATCGGTGAAACAGGATGTGTGAGAGACATCTAGGCACAGACCCGTTTCTTAAGTCAATAATTATTTGCATATCATTGGTATTTCGTCCATGTATCACGATCAGAAGGATCAGGAAGGTTATATTTCACAACCCAAACAATAGCAATATCCAGGGTCAGAAACGTTGACTCCAGTCAGGGAACGTGATCCTCCACTAGATCTATAGTCCTTTGTTTGAGAGCTCTCTGCATCTTTTACTTATGAATCTGAATGATGTAAGACAGATTGCGGGAATGCATAACCTTTTTCCAGAAAAATACGGAAGAGAAGCTTGCTCTTAACTCTGAATAATGAAGGACGGTTCGGGGGGCTTAAAGTGACCCACATTGAACCCTATGTGACGTTATTGGATTTATTAAACAGGCATTTTGATAATTTCCTATCTAGGTCACCATATGGGGGCTATACAGATGTCAGGATAACCTAGTTTCGTGACCTATATGTTGATTTTAGTATCCTTTCTTGTTTTCGTCTCGGCTGATGACCTGATTACATTTATCTGTGTCAAGGAGCCAGTTATTTTGGTACCTTGTTTTTATTACTTAAGTGGACGACATATATTTTTGTGTTGGAATAATGGACGTCTTTTTTTATATGTCTAAATCCGTTCACAAGTCATGATGTATTTGATGATATTGTAAAGTGTATAAGAATTTTTCAAATATCGGAATTACGATTTAAATAGATATTCTGAGATACTGACAAATTTAGGGACAACACCTTGCATTTTGTGAGTGCAACGATAACAGAATCTGTACTCACAAATTATAAGAAGTTGTTAGTCATTAATTTGTCAGTATTGTTCTATCCAGCTTTTAAAATGCCTCTCAAAGATGTTCTGAAAACATTTATTATGCTTTGTTCTGCCTAACCCTAATTGCGATTGCTTTATAATGTATTATTGTATGAGATGAAGCTGCCTTGTGTCTGATCATTGTGTTAACGTGTTTTTGTGCTTTGTGTTATTTTATATATCGCACAAATATTTTGTTACATTTTTTACATGGGTAGTTTATGTGCTGAATGTTTTATTAAACGTTTGACATTAATGCTGTGTTTGTTCTTTCTTCACAGCCTGACACAGAAAATAGTTTTACTATTTGCCACTTACCCGCCCCAGTCGTGCAGTAGACAACCACAACCTCTAATATATTTCTACTGCACATTTGAGGTTGTGGAGTAGTCAAGTGGCTAAAGCGTTCGTCCGTCACGCCGCAGGCCCGGGTTCGATTCCCCACATGCATACAATATCTGAGGCCCATTTCTGGTGTCCCCCGCTGTGATATTGCTGGAATATTGCTAAAAGCGGCGTAAAACCATACTCATTCACGCTACTGTACATTTAGGACACATTAATGCCTCACCTCTGAGTGAGTGCGTCTAGTTTTACGCCGCTTTTAGCAATATTCCAACAATATCACAGCGAGGAACACCATGAATTATATTCATACACTGTACCCATGTGGGAAACCGAACCCAGAAATTATATACTGAAATGCTATGTGCTTGTCTATTCTAGAAAAATTATATTTTCTTCGGGTGCTATATACGATTAACCAACTTCATAAGAAATAAACCCACTCCCAGAACGTACTTCCCGGGGCACAGTATCTTGAGGGTATGTGAGGATGGCAGGTGGGTGAGTAGGCTGGGCTCTGGTGCTGAAACAGGGATCAATATCTGGGAAAATCTGGGATTCGAACCCAGAAATATTTGATCGAGGAATTCAAGGTATATTATTTGGCGTGCATTCTTAGAGGCATGTTAATCACATAAATGTAACGACTACAGCAGCAACAACAGCAACAACAACAACAACAATCCTTATTAATTTTCTTGTGCTTATCTGTGATGGATATCATGCTCAAAGCATAATACAATATTACCCTGGTCAGTGGGTCAGTGTGCACTCTAGTATTATCTCCTCAGGGAGTATACACCCTAGGCTGCCTAGGACGTTAACAGTCACATTACCATATTTCCTACCGGGTACCCATTCACTTCTGTGTAACCAAGATTGTATAATGTCCTAGATGAACACACTGAGACAAGCCTTATTTGAAAACTCCATGATGTATACGGTCCTTCCCCGTTTATATTATTTACTCTGTTGTTGCACAAGAGCTGGTACAGAAATACTTTGAGGCGCAAGAAAGTTATCAGTCACATTACCATCTTACCGGGTACCCATTCACTGGTATTTGAACAGGGGAATATTTCGAACAAAATCTCTTTATGGTGACATTCTATGCGCAATACATGGATCATTCAGGGCACAACCGGAGCCCCAAAAACCATTAAGAGCCAAGCTGTCGAGCACAGCCCCCCACCCTCCCACGTCCAGCGTTGTTTAACATGTGTGACCTATGTGCTGTACACAGCGTGTACCGTGGAATCAAAGCGTTAAGTACAATACGGCCGTCCGGTCACTGACACATGACACAGTCTATGCTTATCTCATGTGACCTGTATGCTGATGTTCTGTGGAAAGTTTTCTTGCTCAGAGGAAGACGCATATACGTTCTGTACGTGACAATGGTTATTGCATCGTCGGATTACTGTGCAGTGAGTGAGTGAGCTTAGTTTTACGCCGCACTCAACAATGTTCCAGCTATATGGCGTAAATAATCGAGTCTGGACCACACAATCCAGTGAGCAACAGCATGAGCATCGATCTGGGCAATTGGGAACCGATGACATGTGTCAACCAAGTCAGCGAGCCTGACCACCCGATCCTGTTAGTCGCCTCTTACGACAAGCATGGGTTACTGAAGATCAATTCTAACCCGGACCTTCACTGGTATTACTGTACAGTCATCTTCTCGATAATGTAGGTATGCAGACAGACAGGCAGACAGAAGTCTATTCAGTATCTTCAGGCCCGTAATATCCACAATGTAACTGTTAACAAAAAGTAGATTACGTATTTTGTATAGAAGTAACCTTTACAAGAACGCTCACTATTTATGATGGTTATGGTATGATGGTTATGGTATGATGGTTATAGGTATGATGGTTATAGGTATGCTTGTGGACGGTTTTGGAATTGAAAGCAGGAACAAACAATTGACGAAGATGAAGATGATTCCGAGAAGATGATGGGAAACTGATTACGTTACCATCTATATAAGTAATTCCTACATGCGAGTGTCTCGAAATAGTAATGATCCTGTATGAGTGATGATAAATGTTTTTTGTCTTTCAAACAAGAGTGAGTGAGTGAGTTTAGTTTTACGCCACACTCACTAATGTTCCAGCTATATGGCGGCGGTTTGTAAATAATCGGGCCTGGACCCAAAAATCCAGTGATCAACAGCATGAGCATCAGTCTACTCGTTTGGGATACATGACATGTGTCAACCAAGTCAGTGAGCCTGACCACCCGATCCCGTTAGTCGCCTCTTACGACAAGCATGGGTTACTGAAGATCAATTCTAACCTGGATCGTCATGTATTACAGTTGACAGCAGGAACACATAATTGATGAAGATGAAGATGTGATGAAGATGATGAGAAACTGATTACGTTATGATCTATAGAAGTAATTCCTCACTTCGAGTGTCTCGAAATAGAAATATTCCTGTATGAGTGATGACAAATGATTTTTATCTTTGAAACAAGAAATATCCATTAGTGTTCTGTCAAGAGTTTATTTACTGACAAGCACAAACCTTCTGTTAATGTTTTTTTATGTTTCTTAGAGCTGAACATTTTTAACATTATCGCAAGCACCTGGTGTCATAAACGATTTTAAGAGATCCACTTTCATAATTTACAAAGCTCCTTTGCCTGTCACGTGTTTTATCTGATAACCGAGCCTGGCCACTCACTGGTGTTGACGTTTTGTATTGTTACGTCAGTGAACAATCAATTAACATGCTTTGGAGATCACTGCAAATAACAATGTGAACTAGTGTGTTATAGATAGAGTTTAGTTGGGTACACATGTGATGTACGTGTTTGATGTATTAGAACTTAACCTGTTTCATCGTAGTCCATTACCGAAACAACATCTATCTATATTGCCGGCAGCTAAACAGTGAGTATGAGGGCGACACCGTAGTTTCCGGCATTAACAGATTCAGGTCCGTTTGCATGATACATGTAAACCAACATGGCAATTTCATCAGATAAACTGCAAAATCCAACAGAAGAAATTTTGAAATCAGACGTAGTGCGCGTGCGTGCGTGCGTGTGTCTGTGTAAAGGGTACGGTCAGTAAGTGGGTACGGTGTTGATAGATAAAAGATTATTTTGGATGGGATTCGAACCTGGACTAGCCTTTTATACTTTTACGGCACGACTCTCTGCACTTGACAGTATTGAATAATTGTGGAGCAGTTTCATCGCCAGACATGTAAATGAATTGAGCAACCACGGAATGTGTTTCTGTTCCGTGAGAAAGCAATATTCTACATTGATGAAGGTAACATAGTTATCATGGAATGCTGATAATCATTTTATTTCTAGAGGGTTCAGCACCATAGCTGGTTGGAGAACAGACAGGAATTCTGGTGTAACCACGATGTGTCTTGTCATCACTGGAAGGAGCGAGTAGAATTACTTGGAGTTTGTATGAGTGCGGTCACATGACGCTGATCGTTTAACTCACCTGGGCGTCGAATTTGGAAACTCAGAACGTTTTGTGTTCTTCCTCAGTTTTCCTGATTGTTCAGTAACATGGCTTGCTGGATGTGCTATTGTTTTCGTTTTTAGATTTTCAAATCACCCAGTGCTTTAGTGTTATAAATAATAAAATAAATATAACAATAGTGTCAAGGCAATCAGTTTCTAGTGCCATATGCTATCAAGTCAATCCATTCCGAAAGTGCCATATGCTATCAAGTCAATCCATTACCAGTGCCATATGCTATCAAGTCAACCAATCTACAGTGCCATATGCTATCACTACAACACATTTACAGTGCCATATGCTATCAATACAACACATTTACAGTGCCATATGCTATGGATGCAACACACCTACAGTGTCATATGTTAGCAATACAACACATTTAGAATACCATATGCTATCAAGACAATCCATTTCCAATGCCATATGCTATCAAGTCAACCAATCTACAGTGCCATATGCTATCAATACAACACATTTACAGTGCCATATGCTATCAATACAACACATTTACAGTGCCATATGCTATCAATACAACACATTTACAGTGCCATATGCTATCAATACAACACATTTACAGTGCCATATGCTATCAATACAACACATTTACAGTGCCATATGCTATCAATACAACACATTTACAGTGCCATATGCTATCAATACAACACATTTAAGGTGCCATATGCTATCAATACAACACATTTACAGTACCATATGCTATCAAGTCAACCAATCTACAGTGCCATTTGTTATGACATCAACCTATTTACATAGCCACATGCTATCAAGTCAATTGATGCAGATTTTGTAAGAAAAGCACTCTTTAACTCACGCCACATCAGTGGTTTGCCCGCATGTATACTGACATTATTAACAATGGCATAACAGCGATAAGAGGATTGGAGTTTGTGGTATTATTAAAAATGTATTGTTTGTCTTCAAGAACAATACAGATGCACCGTTGACGTCACTCACACACACTACGTCATCTTGTTGTTGAGTGGTTTAGTAAGTGAGTATGGTTTTATGCCGCTTTTTTTGCAATATTCCAGCAATATCACGGTGGGGGACACCAGAAATGGGCTTCACACATTGTACCAATGTGGGGAATCGAACCCGGGTCTTCAGCGTGACGAGACGACGCTTTAACCACTAGGCTACCCCACCGCCCGTTGAGTGGTGTAAACGAGCAGAAGGTGTGTGTGTTTAATCCGGAAGTATTTCATCATACTAGCAGACAGGTATTTCCTTCACATCACTGACCAGGTAGGTTCATGATACCTGGGTAAGTTTAAGTTAGCATTGATCAACATCTTTCCCTAGGAAGTAATGGCTGTAAAATAACGAAAGCCAACGACAAACTGATATACAACACAACGTACATGCATTTACATAAAAACATGGATGTAAAGAATAGTTTATTTCCTTTATTTTTCATGAAGCAAGAAGCCAAATATGACCAAGATAATGCAGTATAAATAAATGTATAGGGTAATAATATATTTTGCGTTTCTATTAATGTATACCTCCAGGCGTCAACTGTAGTTAGATCAAACTATTACAAACACGTTCGTGATGATCTATACTAGGCACATAAAGAAACTGTGCATACAAAAATTTAAAATCTAAATTTATCAAACCTGTGTAGACACATAAGGATTTAAACTCAGAGATTAGTGACATGTATCCAACATGCATGCACGTGCCACGTTCCGTGACGTCAGTGGGTTCGTCCTTGAGACGTGCAATACGTTGTTGCACGTGTATTCCGGGAAAGAGAAACAGAGCAAATGAATGCCATACAATACAGTCACTTTGGAAAGCTCAACCCTTGCCCTTGCGATCGTTCAAAATATTAAACGGCTATTGAAACGCATAGCATGCCAAGACTCACGTCTGCACAACGTCATGAGGCCATTTTTAATTGAAATTCTCCCGACTTGTTATGGTCTCATGATCCCTCCATTGTGATTGACTCCATTGAAAGTTCATACTGTCTCACCTTTGATATTGTTATCGTACTTATTAACTGGGATAATATTTTGACAATGCACAGTTTCTTTATGTGGCTAGTATATAATAGAACATGTACACATACAAAGGTAAACATACGATGTACATTTTTCATCACATGTGACTATGGAAGAAACACCTCTCTTTGCAAATTTTTCAATTGTACAGTGGCAAACGTGAAACGACGTTCTATTCCATTATTCTAACAATGGCGGTGTTGAAATGTTGTTTGAAGAGAAGGTAATTTGATATTAAATACATATTTGTTGAAAAGGCTTGTGTGGGTGAGTGAGTTTTGGTTTACGCCGTTTTTAGCAATATTATAGTAATATCACGGAGGGGGGCACTAGAAATGGGCTTCATAAATTGTACCCATTTGGGGGATCGAACCCGGGTCTTCCGTGTGACAAAGGAAGGCTTACCCCACTAGTCTCCCCCAAAAGGCGTGTAATGTTTCATCCAGTGGTAAGTATGAGTTCAACATAAAGTATGCACATAGTTCTCGTTATAACGACCTTCAAGCACGAATACAATATATAACAACATATACAACAGAGGTATACAAGTGAATAATTATATTTTTCGATATATAAAAGTGGCGAAGCGTCTTCGATGATGTTACCTTCAAAGCACATTTGCTTAGATATATACACCAAGTTAATCGGGTAGCATCAGAAACGTATATCCATTCAGTCTGTGGATTACACATATATTGTATGATCATTTGGATATTTGGTTTCACACTTTTTCCCATTGTCCACAAAGGATGAATGAATGTGTCATGTTCGCTCCAGTTGGTCGAACACACAGAGTCCGCACCGATATCTTGGGAGAAGAATATGATGGTTGACTTCAACTTGTGTATATTCCACGCTGAAATAACAAAACATCATCGTCGTAGACATTATAAACATATGTGTGTGTGTGTGTTATTTGGAGTGTGTGTGGTGTTTTGTGTGAAGTTCATCATGTGTTATGTGAAACGTACCGTGTGTTATGAGGAGTGTGTCCTGTGTTGTGTGGAGTATGTCCTGTGTTGTGTGGAGTGTGTCCTGTGTTGTGTGGAGTGTGTCCTGTGTTGTGTGGAGTATGTGTCCTGTGTTGTGTGGAGTATGTCCTGTGTTGTGTGGAACGTGTCCTGTGTTGTGTGGAGTGTGTCCTGTGTTGTGTGGAGCGTGTCCTGTGTTGTGTGGAGTGTGTCCTGTGTTGTGTGGAGTGTGTCCTGTGTTGTGTGGAGTGTGTCCTGTGTTGTGTGGAACGTGTCCTGTGTTGTGTGGAGCGTGTCCTGTGTTGTGTGGAGTGTGTCCTGTGTGTGAGTGTGTCCTGTGTCCTGTGTTGTGAGTTGTGTGGTCCTGTGTTGTGTGGAGGTGTCCTGTGTTGTGTGGAGTGTGTCCTGTGTTGTGTGGAGACGTGTCCTGTGTTGTGTGGAGTGTGTCCTGTGTTGTGTGGAGTGTGTCCTGTCCTGTGTTGTGTGGGAGTGTGAGGAACTGTCCCAGTGTGGAGTATGTCCTGTGTTGTGTGGAGTGTTGTGTGGAGTGTGTCCTGTGTTGTGTGGAGAAGGAAACCCCAGTGGAGGACCCAGGAACAGGGACCCCAGGAACCCCAGGAACGGGGACAACCCCAGGAGGACAACCCAGCAGGAAACCCCACGAAACAGTGGAGGATCCCAGGAATGGAGGTGGACAACCCTTGAGGGACCGGAAAGCACAGGAGGAACCCCAGGGAAAATGGAGGAAACCAGGTGGAATGGCCCCAGTGGAATCCCAGGAAACCCCAGGTCCCAGGAAACCCAGGAGGACAACCCAGGAGGAGGAACCCAGGAAACCCCAGGGAGGTCCCAGAAGGACCCAGGGAACCCCAGGAAACCCAGGAACCCAGGACCGAAGGAGGACAACCCCAGGAAGGAGGATCCCAGGAAGACCCAGGTCCCAGGTCCCAGCATAACCCCAGGACCCATGGTCCCTGTGTCCCAGGAACCCAGCATAACCCAGGAAACCCCAGGAAACCCCAGAAACAGTGGAGGACAACCCCAGGAACCCAGGAACAGTGGAGGCATGGCCCCAGGAAGGAACCAGGAACCTGTAACCCCAGGAGGGTCCCAGGAAACCCCAAGGAGGACAACCCCAGGTCCCAGGAGGACCCCAGGAGGATCCCAGGAAACAGGAGGAGGAACCAGGAGACAACCCAGCAAACCCAGGAACAGGTGGAGGACAAACCACAGGAGGAAACCCCAGGAAGAACCCAGGGAACCTGTGTGGACCCAGCCCCAGGAACCCAGGACAACCCCAGAAATGGAGGATGGTCCCAAACCAGGGAGGAAGGAACTTTAGGGGAGGGACAACCCCAGTGGAATCCCAGTGGACGGGACCCCAGGTCCCAACCCAGGGAGGGACCCCAGGAAACCCACAGGAGGAACCCAGAGGACAACCCAGGAACCGAAACCCAGCCCCAGGTGGACAACCCCAGGCCCCAGGAAACAGGGTCCCAGGAAAACCCCAGGAAGAACACAGGAGGAAACCCCAGGAACCCCAGGAAGACCCAGGAAGAAGGACCCAGATGTCCTGTGTTGTGTGGAGCGTGTCCTGTGTTGTGTGGAGTGTGTCCTGTGTTGTGTGGAGCATGTCCTGTGTTGTGTGGAGTATGTCCTGTGTTGTGTGGAGCATGTCCTGTGTTGTGTGGAGCATGTCCTGTGTTGTGTGTCCTGTGTTGTGTGGAGTATGTCCTGTGTTGTGTGGAGTGTGTCCTGTGTTGTGTGGAGTGTGTTGTGTGGAGCATGTCCTGTGTTGTGTGGAGCATGTCCTGTGTTGTGTGGAGCATGTCCTGTGTTGTGTGGAGTGTGTCCTGTGTTGTGTGGAACGTGTCCTGTGTTGTGTGGGAACGTGTCCTGTGTTGTGTCCCCGTGTCCTGTGGAACGTGTCCTGTGTTGTGTGGAGTGTGTCCTGTGTTGTGCGGAGTGTGTCCTGTGTTGTGTGTTGAATGTGTCCTGTGTTGTGTGGAGTGTGTCCTGTGTTGTGCGGAACGTGTCCTGTGTTGTGAGTAGCGTGTCCTGTGGAACGTGTCCTGTGTTGTGTGGATTGTGTCCTGTGCTACGTAGACCGTGTATTGTGTTAGTTTTGTGGATCGTGTCTTTTGTCTGCCTTGTATAATGTGTATCGCATGTTTTATGGTGCGTGGTGTGTGGGGCGTCTCGTTTTTTTTATATGGAGAGTCTCTTAGGTTCTGGGAGAGCTTGTGCCTTGTTTTCTGCGGAGTGTTATATTTCCTGTGTGTTGAGTGTTAAATGAAAATATGGTTAGTAGAGTGTGCGTTGTGTCTGTGATGTGTCGAGTGTGGAAAGTGTGTTTTGTGCAGTGCGTGTTGTGTTGAGCGTACAATGTGTTTTGTAGAGCGTGCGATATGCGGAGTGTGTGTTCGGAGTGTGTGGTGTATCGTGTGTTGCGTGTGTTATGTGGAGCGTATGTTATTTTAGTGTGTGAGCCCAGTATCAGGTTGATTTGAGTTGAGTGGGGCTTTACGTCACATCGGCATATTCCACCATCAATAGTGACGAGATCAAGTTTCCATTCATTACCATTTTGGTCCAAGGTTCTTGAGATATTTTAAAACATACATATTCATTGTGTATTTCTATTTCTCAGGCATATCAAACATCAATTGGGAAACTAGTTATAGTCATCGATGAAAGTCAAATCTTGGACTTTTCTTAGAGAAAGTGTGAGTAGTGGTATTCTTTTCTAATCAAAATACATAATGCTACCATTGCATTATCTGGGGACATTTGTATCACAGGAATTCCAAACACTGCAAAGATAAAAACGATATCTCGTCTGTGATTAACACATGTCAGTGGACAAACATTACATTCCAGAAAACACTAAGGCGATAACTGTGGAACCTGGAAATGTTTTGGTAACAAGAAGGAAATTTGAATTTCTTGGAAATTTAATAAACGTTTAGTAATATATATTTATTAACGGCACAAAGCATACCAATGAAGCATAATCATCATCTAAAATAAATGACGGTTAGTAGAGACGTATTTGCCAAATATGATGATTGCAGTATTGTTTGTCCCGTTTGTTTGATAGTTATCTTTAGCCCAGCCATTGTGTTTGTTGTTTACTCGCATTCAGAGTTATTGAAGCTATATAACAGCGGCCTGTACATAGTACAGTCTGAACCAGACAATCCAGTGACTGATATCATTAGCAACGACTCACACCGTCTGGGAAGAATGACACATAATCAATTAAGTAGACCAACTCTTAGTCTCTGAATATATATCATTTTGATAGTAACAAGTAATTCCTGTAAACTGGAAAGGAGGCCTGTGAGATAGGATATTCAGAACCTGAGGAAATCTAATCATTTCAGGCTTTAATACAGCAGAGTGCCGGGCAGTAGTGGAAATAATGCGGTTCAGGGACTGTGAGACAATGCTATTTAAACAAGTTACAGAGCCTGGGCCACCCGGTCCATTAATCGCCCCTTAGAAGAACAATATTCTGCTGGTGGCCTTTTCTTACACGAACCGCCATGGGGCCCCTAGTCTGTCTCACAGTCCCTGAACCACATTAATTTCCCTACTGCCAAGCCCTCTCTGCAGTGCTAAAGCCCTAAATAAAGCAAGTCTAGATTTCCTCAGGTTCTGAATCTCTGGTCTCCCTAGGGCTCCTTTTCAATATAAATGGGCTTGTTTGTTACTATCAAAATTATATATATTCAGAGACTAAGCCTTAGCCTATGGGGCCCCGTGTGCCCTCTCACATGCGGAAGAATTATAAATGTCATCCAGCATTCGAGAAGCTTATTCTGTATATTGCCCGTTGAAGTTTAAATAAATACTGTCAAGAAACAACAAAACTCAGGGCCTCAATGAAAGCACTGATCAAACGTTACATTGTCAGTGTGTGACGCCATCGACTGGGGGAGGCGTTATTTCATGTCTTTCTCATCAGTGCCATGTTAGGTGTGTTTGAGAATCGCTAATCTGCAGATATGTACATGTCAACAGTCAAGACATGTGACCTTCTAACTGTGATAGGCAACATACTTCCAGAAACTTCAAGCTTCCTCCCTCTTTCTGTTTTTTGGTTTCCTTGTTGACTGAAGCGATCTCCTCCTCTGACACACCAACTTGCCTCTTCTGCATTTGCTGAAACAGTGATAGAATGAGAGGAATGTTTTCATTGAAGCTTTGAGGGGCTGCATTCTGGTAGGGGATTGCAACTTCAGTGAAATTCCGTTCATCCGATCTAGTTCCTGGTAACAGTAATTCATATCCCGGTTAATATCCTGATTTCAGATAAAGACATGCTTCGTAATTTTATATCCGCGTTCCATTTCACAAAACGCTACGACTGTAGTAAGTCGATGTTAAGGTATGGGAGTTACGATCACCTTAGCGCTACGTCTGCCGTAAATATTTTTTAATATATAGGAGTTACGACCAAGTTAGCGTTACGTCTGTCGTAAGTCTATGTTAATATGTGGGATTTACGATCACCTTAGCGCTACGTCTGTCGTACGTCCATGTTTACATATGGGAGTTACGATCACCTTAGCGCTACGTCTGTTGTAAGTCTATGCTAATATATAGGAGTTATACGATCACCTAAGCGCTACGTCTCTCGTAAGTCTATGTTAACATATGGGAGTGACAATCACCTTAGCGCTACGTCTCTCGTAAGTCTATGCTAATATATGGGAATTACGATCACCTTAGCGCTAAAATGGCTTTGTACAACGACAACCCCTAATTTAAAAGAGTCCAGACTCTGAATGAAGGTGCTGAAGGGATAGAAGGAATATCTGACAAGATATGAAAGTTAGAATAAGAACGGAGAAGAGTGTCCCATTGAATAAGGGGAGCGGGAATGACTGATTGAGGGACAGAGGGAGTGATGAGGAAAGAGGTGTGTGTTGGTGTGTGTGTTGTGTGTGTTTTGTATGACATAATTACACACGAAATCGAACACGGGTCCATGAGTGAGTCTGTACGTGACGATGATTATTGCATCATCGGATTACTGTACAGTGAGTGAGTGAGTTTAGTTTTACGCCGCACTCAGCAATATTCCAGCTATATGGCGGCGGTCTGTAAATAATCGAGTCTGGACCAGACAATCCAGTGATCAACAGCACGAGCATCGATCTTCGCAATTGGGAACCGATGACATGTGTCAACAAAGTCAGCGAGCCTGACCACCCGATCCCGTTAGTCGCCTCTTACGATAAGCATAGTCGCCTTTTGTGGCAAGCATGGGTTGCTGAAGACCTATTCTACCCCGGATCTTCACGGGTCCTCGGGTCCATGATGGTAAAGATATTTCATGTACCATCGTCTCCCCTTTCTCTGCACAGTAGCGCCCTCTAGGATGAGGAATCCGTTCTCTTCCTCACACACTCTCTCCTTCCGCATCTGGCGCTGGATCTTCTCCGGGAGGACTGGCGGCCGAGCTGTTGACATGTCCTCTGTGGTAAATATGGAAACATAGGACTACATTGAAAAAGGACTGTCCGGCGTATCCGACTTGCTTTTGTGCGTAACAACAGTTCACACACATCACACACGCAACGCACGCACGTACGCAATGACACCCATACGCGACCGGATATGAAGTGGCCAGGCCACAAGACGTAATTATGTCTACGGTTAGGTTAATTATTTACCGTTAATAAAACCAAACAAATGAAAATTAATATAACTGCGGTCAGGTCAAGTTTTGAGGAGAGTGAATTAGATACGGATTCCCTCTTCCGAGAGGAACTGAGGGGTCGTATAACGTAAATGGACGATGTATACCTGCGTTGTCCTCGTTTTCGTTATTCTTTATGACACAGCGCCCCCTGTTGGGAATTCCCTTTCTGGAATCTCCCTGCTCTTCAATGCTGCACACGTAACCATGGGGACACAACAGAGGGTCCTCGTCAGCCTCGACTGGAGTTGTACTGCACGGCTCAGCTGGCGAGAAGACGAACAAAACCGTTAAGTACGTCGCCATGTAATGACGGACAAACAGACAGACAGACAGACATGTTCACGGTTGGTTGTTGAACCCCGCACTCAGCAATATTCCAGGTATATGGCGGCGGTCTGTAAATAATTGAGTCTGGACCAGACAATCTACTGATCAACAGCAGGAGCATCGATCTAGGCAACTGGGATACGATGACATGTGTCAGCCAAGTCAGCGAGCTTGACCACTCGTTCCCGTTATAGGTTGCTGAAGACCAATTCTAACCCGGATCTTAACGAGTCAACAAGCACGGATGTCCGTGTTGAATTGAAGGACTAAATAAGGGCGATTCGTGGATTCGAATTCATGGCCGCTGAGCTTGGTACAGCTCCAGAGAGATTACAATAAGTAGAAGTCTTGTCTTTGCAATTGTTATGGATAAAGAAAATCTTTCATTTTTAAAAAACCTGATGAAACAAAGGTAAAAGTGACTTTCTTTGGGCAACTCACATATTAAACCGATGAACCCGAGATTATTCTTCACATACTAGATTTTCGCTTTAACAATTTCAAAAAGCTACACAGACCCGATTTTAGAAATACTTTGCTCTACAATAAGAAGCACATACATTTTCAAACATGTGACATCAGTATCGCATCAGTCTTTTATAAATATTATGGCATCAGATAAATGTAGTGTTGTCTATGATATTGGTCAGTTCCTACTTAAGGTGTATAAACATAGAATTGCCCTTACATGTGAAATTGGTGTGTGACATGTAAATCCATATGCATGACAACTCTTGCGGGGAATAACTCATGGACTCTACTGTGTATTTATGAGCAGATTGTGAAAGTTAATACATGACTGTATTTTGGGCCATTGGCCTTGGTACTGAAATAAAATGTCTGTCTGTCTGTCTGTCTGTCTGACAATCAAACAACCTGCAGCACTTTCTTATCGGGTCCACCTTATCACAGCGACTACAGAACGTTGGTATCGCCGTAATGAATCATGTATATGAGGGATGTCCTATTATTCCACCAACTAATCAATTGTCCGCCATTTACCTTCACTGACGGTATCCGGACTATCCACAAGCCAGGAGCGACCTGAAAATATAAGAGCCGCTCAGTGAAAACAAACATTTTCGACCTGCCCCCATGAATCCGACAACACTGCCCTCTAAATGGCAGTCAGAAACGTTTCCATAGTTACAACGGGGTTTACACATTCAGAAGTATAACAAAACCCATTTGACCCGACCCCTATGAATCCGAGAACATCGCCCTTTAAATGACAATTAGAAACGTCTCCATAGATACAACGGATTACACCGTCTCGAATAACGGGGTTTCACTATACAAAAATATACCAACGTAATTTGCTTAGACTCTGGAGTGACTTAGGAATGGTACTGAGTAAGATTTCTAAAAATCTGTCAAGGACCAGTTCAAAACAGTAAATATTTATTCAGTCTCCCAAGCTTTGATCGCGTAGTCTATACAGTTCTACTTTCAACGAAACAAGACACATTCCAAGCACTACAACTACCAACATCTATCTTATCCTGCATATCATGTAAGCGTTGATTACTCTTGCCGTGTCCATGACTTACCCGAACTTAGACGTCGACGTGGCTCTTTTGACCAATCAAAATCTGCAACAACAATCGTTTTGTCAAATATAGTTGTGCTTAATGCTAGCTTGAAGATTGTTTTCCCCATAAATTATAAAAAAAACGTGTTTGCATAGGTGATGCAGGTCATGTATGTAAAAGCAAGAATTCCACCTCAACATTCGTAAGATTCTAATACTCCCCCCACCCCCCAAGCGATGTTATTTATATATGCAACACAATCCCATAAGCACGAGGAGCATATCTTTGGTGCATATGTACTTATTATCTTTGTGTGTGTGAAAATGCGATATAGATATTTCATATCTTTTACATAGATATTTTAATAGACTGACTCTCGACCTACAAGATAACTCGAGTATCTATACTACTGACGGACAAATGCCACTCATGGATAACATATCAGTTGAATATTTTTGTTAAATATATTTAAATATTAAGGATATTTAACTATTGCTGAATGGAATGCTAATATTTTTCTTCAGTCTTTGGATCAAAGATTGACAACCCGTGAAGATCCGGGTTAGAACTGATCTTCAGTAACGCATGCTTGTCGTAAGAGGCGACTAACTGGATCAGGCTCACTGTCTTGGTTGACACATGTCATCGTATGCCTATTACCTATATCGATGCTCATGCTGTTGATCCCTGGATTGTCTGGTTTAGACTTGATTATTTACAGACCACCGCCATAATATTGCTGAGTGCGGCGTTAAACAACAAACAAACCGACCAAACATATCCAGGATATTTAATTACTGTTAAATGGAATGCCGATTTTTACATTTTGTTTTTCGTTATTTGGAATTTCTGTCTTATATCTAGGATTGACATGACTCAGATGTCTACTATTTCAAAAAGAGAAGCAAAGCAAAATCACGCCCTGACGCCTGACCCCGCGGATCTGCACATTCGTGCCGTCGATGATTACAGCTGGCGTGTTTCAGTTTCTATGTAAATACATTTCAAGCACGACGCTTACCAGCCCTTTAACCTCAATGTCAGTGCACACAGGTAAGTCTCAATGACGTCCACATGGCAACGTGTATCCGTTTACGCGATCTCCTTCATAAAAAGAGTAAAAAACACACCCAAAGATGTAATCAAAAGCTTGTGACTTAATCATGTCACGTGGAAGTAGTTTTGTTATAGTCAGTTGTATTTCATTTCAAGTGGCTCCAATGACGTTGATAGAGGCGCTCGTACAATATCAAATTTAATGGTGGCCTTGACAGGTCGTAAATTGGAATTACCTTTCTTATTTGGGGGTTTTCATAGTGGCTGTTCATAGGGACTGGTCATTTATTTATAGGCGTTGGCGTGCTGGTTGGAACTGTATCACATTTTGCTGACAAATAATATTCCTGATGAATTATACGGTCGGTTTCTAAAATCATTTTGACATCAAGCGGTGCCTCCGTTTCGCTTGATACCTCTCCATCTTCACTGGAAGATTGTCTTGCAAGCTGTAAAATCGGATCGTATTGATACGGTCTAACATCCATTTCAGAAATGACACCAGGAACATCTTTTATTGCTTCAGAATCCATGGACACTGTTAAGTTGTGAGGTAATATCAAAGAGGGAGCCATCGGGAACAGGCACATATGACGTCATGTCACGTGATACCCCTTCTGCTTATTAACTGTCGGGGGGCTTCTGTTATAGGCGGAAATAAGAGTACGTTTTTTGTGTATTTATTACGATTTTACAAACATTCTGTTCAATTTTAATCACGGGAGGTGACTTTTAGAATGCCTTTATCCCTATGAATAGTTTTGTTGTCGTAAGTATTCTCCCTTAACTTGGAACCTTACTGAGTCCCTATGCTTGTTTATGTAATTGTGCCTATATTTATTGCTGATGCCACATATTTTGCCGCAATCAGTTGTTTGTTATGCTTTGTTAACTAATCATTGCTCCTCTGGGATATATTACTGATTTGACAATCTAGTTTAGTAAAGCTAATACTTTAAAGTCTGCCTTTACTCACATCCTGGAATACCAACTTGATAAAGACATGTGTAGATGCACCCATTGTAGCAACACTTCCCGTTTATGTCTGCGCATGTGCGGTCTGAGTTGCAGGGAGTCTGGGTACAGGAACCGGAAGGTAGCACTGATGGAACTGGAGGGCAAAAGTCACTTCCTGCATCCGGGGCATCACCCAGGTAGTCATAGTCTATCTGAAATTGATACAGATGAATTGAAAGTTTCATTTCACTTGATTACTAGACTCAGTACTTTGCACCTGGATTAGTATAAACACATAATCTATCGACATGACGAATATTCGATTCAAATGGTTCTGCGTGTCAACTCTAAGCACTCGTAATGAGTACAGACCCGTGAAGATCCGGGTTAGAATTGGTCTTCAGTAACCCATGCTTGTCGTAAGAGGTGACTAACGGGATCGGGTGGTCAGGCTCGCTGACTTGGTTGACACATGTCATCGGTTCCCAATTGCGCAGATCGATGCTCATGCTGTTGATCACTGGATTGTCTGGTCCAGACTAGATTATTTACAGACCGCCGCCATATAGCTGGAATATTGCTGTGTGCTGCGTAAAACTAAACTCATTCACTCACTCATTCACTCTCGTAATGAGTACGGAATGAATAGGATTACTTTGGCAGACATTTGGTTTATGTCCGCAGGCGCACTAATGTCCCGTGCGCACGTACACACACGTACGCACAAGGAGCTCCCTGAAGATGGAGGAAAATTCGTGCTGATTCAATCAGATTCCGAACATGTAGTTACACTGTATAAGCTTGTGATTTCAATTCTCGTTGGTGTCCGACTGGCCTAGTAGTCTCATTTGTCAAATCTGATTACAATGATCAACGGTTCGAATCCAAGATTTGTCCTGACCCCCGATGCCTCAAACGTCAGCGCCCTACACCTCTTAGGCATTGCTCCCCACAATAATTGTCGTGCTATGAGAGATTTGAAATGCCATTCAAAATAGCGATACACCAATCTCCCTTTCGCACTTTGAAGTATTCTGGTACCAAGACTGTATCCATGTAATAAGACGATGTACATGATCCAGTGAGAGTGAGTGAGTGAGTGAGTTTGGTTTTACGCCGCTTTTAGCAATATTCCAGCAATATCACGGCGGGGGACACCAGAAATGGGCTTCACACATTGTACCCATGTGGGGAATCGAACCCGAGTCTTCGGCGTGACGAGCGAACGCCTTAACCACTAGGCTACCCCACCGCCCCCGATCCAGTGAGAAGTCTGTGGGGAAGTTATGAACATCAAAGAAACATGAAAGCAGCCCTGTCTGAGCTTAACAAACCAGTGACCGATAGCATAAACACATCAAGACCTGTTCGGTTCGTCGGGGGTACAGCCAGGCTGAAGCATGACCATCCTTGGTTTTGGGATCTGTTATTCGAAGGAATCACAATTGGTATAATTTCTTGAGATTAGGGGAGCAATGGGTCAGCCGAGTGGCTAAGCGTTTTTGCGCGTGAGTCCGAATAATGGGGCTCGATTTCCCTATCCGTTTAGGGTAGCCTAGTGGTTAAAGCGTTCACTCGTCACGCCTAAAACCCGGGTTCGATTCCCCACATGGATACAATTTGTGAAGCACATTTCTGGTGTCCCCTACCGAGATACTGCTTGAATATTGTTAAAAGGGCGTAAATCCTTACTCACTCACTCACTCACTCCTGAGATTCGAACCTCGTCTGTGTGGGCGATGAGAGAATACCGTAGGCTCATCAGTTTACTGTTAAGTCGGACACAAAAAGGGAACATACAAAACAGACACATTTAATTTATCATAATGGCTCCATTCGAAACACATCCTCGAACCAGAATGTCAAAGATTCCGTCACTAACTGAAACTGATTAATGGCAGGAGCCTGTTCTATCTCTTGTATACATGACTCTCGTGATGAAAAACTGTTCTTCATTAATCAACATGTCAAATACAACACCAATTTAACATTTCTTTTTACAGTTGTGTGGTATGTTCACCACAATTCGTCTACAGAATCACATTGTTTTTCAAGATTTCCCCATGTGCTATGCATTTGGCGGAAGAATACAGAGTGAGACTGACCTCGTCACATTCCTCCGCCTGGTAAGTGAGTTCAGGCGAGGTAGTACGAGTGCTGCCAGGCGTGTGTAACACGGGCAAGTCGCTTGTCGATAGATTACGTTTCGTTTAGCGGCAGCGTGCATGTCTCGTGGTAAGCACGTGTTATCGCGTAGTTTTACGAGACGAGATTGTCCGGATCGGGCAGTTAATCTGAGTAGTGATTGCGACAACGTCAGAATATTTCCTGGATGTGGCCAATATGGTCATGATATCTCAACACGGGAATAAGAATATTGTCACTTATAGCCGAATCATTGTGTGTGGGTGAAAGACAAAGTTATTTCTGTGACGACGTGTTGAAGACATTTACCGACATTAGTCATTGTCGCGATCACCGACCTGCCTCTGGCATTTATAAAAGCAGGTTTTCTTACATTAAACCTTACATTATTTTCTTCAACTGGCAGGCGCGTAGCAAACCAATTTTTTCGTGTAAGCCCGATAGGTTGCAAACCTATATATACTGAACATCACTGAAAACGCACCACTTATAAAAGTCAGATTATTATTAGCGCGTGTAAGGAATTGATATTTTTTGAGTGGGTAATAACAGATGGACGACTGACAAAAAACACACACACAGAAAAGACGCTCATTCATTGAAATGTTCCACAGTCAGAAAGGATCAAACACACGTGGGGTCAAATCGAAAGGTCAATATCGCGTGTGACCGCCATTTGCATTCACACGTGCAGTTGAACGTCTCCTCATTAAGTCAATAAGCGTCCGAATAGAGTTCTTGAGGATGGCATTCCACTTCTGCAGTAGTGCAGCCTCAAGTTCCCGGATGTTTCGCATCTGTTGTCGCCGCGAAAGACTTTGACCAATTTCGTCCCACAACTGACCATGGGGGATACATCTGGCGACTGTGCTGGCCAATGAATAACCTGGATGTGTTGCTGGGCCAGATACTGCATGGAAAGTCTTTTTGTGTGTGCCCGTGCGTTGTCCTGTTGAAACGTCTGGACATCTTGGTGGTGATTGAAAACAGATACGATGTGATTCTGAAGAATCTGCTCACGGTAATAAAGGGCATTAACTCTCCCTTGACAGACATGAAGGCAGTCCTGTGATTGTAATTTATTCCACCCCAGACCATGACACTCCCACAACCCAAAGGTCTGTCTGAACCACACACTCATCAGCATAACGTTCACCACGTCTACGCCAAACACGTAATCAGCCGTCAGCATTGTCGTCTATGAAGCCTAACGATGGTGGAGTGGCCAAGTCCAAGTTGTCGAGCAATATCCCTGCTGCTGGTGCCAACCTGAATAATGCCTACTGCACGTTCGCTTTCGTGAGGTGTTAACCTCGGCATCTCTGTCCTCGTTTCACAATCGTTAGTGAAGCAATGAGAATCGTTTCTCATACACCTGCTTTTAATGTCACAGTCAGTATGATTTCAGAATGAAATTCGCGCTTTTTTCATGACGTGGCTGCATGTTGATGCATTTTGGAATTAAGAGTCATACTGTGGACAGGAATTTCTTTCTAAAGCCTTTTTCAACTGGACATGCCCTTCGACTTCATGTTAGTTATATTCATTGATCATTGTCATGTTGAAATCCATCTTGATGAAAATATGGACAATTTTAGACTGGTGCGTTTTCAATGATGTTCAGTATATTTAGATAGTATTGAGGGCCAACTTTTATGGTGATCTTAAGCAAAACTCATGTGTAAGCCCGGGCTTTTCTTTATAATGGTAGCTACGCGTCTGACCGGAGAGTCAGTCGAACAGGTGTTTTGGGGAGTTGTGAGGACATTTCCTTTTAAACAAGCCATGTTGACCACAGAGTTCAATATTGTTCAGAAAATGACAATTATAAAAATACATGTAGGGATGGATGTCATGATGTCCACAAAGGCAGAGATTGGACGTTCAAGGAGACACATGATGTATGACTTACTTTATTTACAGTTCCTTGAATAATGATGACTTGTTCGTAAATATTCTGGAAAACATGTTCTTCCAAATTCGCAATTACGTCATATATTGGCTTAAAGGGATATTCTTCTACATTCATTGGAATACACAGTGTGCACATGTTTATATTGTGAAATGTACTTTTAAAATCCATAAGCTGATAGGAACTGAGCACTTGATAGGATAAGAATGTCCGCTCAATCATCGGGTCAGGGCCTGACAAAAATAACCGTCACAGCCATCGTCAGTCTACCGTTGACCTACAGCGAGATAAGGATTAACAAGTGAGTTGACACTACTAGCTCACATAGAAATACAAGCGTGGGCATAACCCCTGATACTGTTAGGCTTCTCCCAACCAATATGATTCAATATACTTTGTTTAACGTTTGACGTCATTATCGCTCTACACGAGTTAGGGCAGTGGTTTGAAGCGTTCGATCGTCACGCCGAAGACCCGGGTTCGAATCCCAACATGGCACAATGTGTGAGGCCCATTTCTGGTGTCCCCCGCCGTGATATCCTCGCCTTTGCTAAAAGCGGCGTAAAACCCAACTCACTCACTCACTCTACACGAGTTACCAGGTAGAAGTGGTTTTAGTATAAGTTACAATTTCAAGGACCAAAAGCTTCACAAGACAAAGTAATTGAATTGAAAATGGATAGACTGAAAATATTGCAAGTAGCATAGATTAGCGACATTTATCGTAGCAATAATTTCCAAAAAATATAACGTATTTATAGCCTTAGAATTCTTCCAGGGGCCTTAATCAAACCAATACGAAGCGTGAGATAAGGACCGCAAAAAGTCACTCGTGTGAAGGTGAAGGTCACTGGATAAACACTACACTGTAGGTCAGAATGACGTAATACTGTATGACCACAACCTATCTGATAATATTCACGCCCACATAAACGTAATCTTCTCCATCTCATTAAGAACGTCGCCATATCATACTGAATGTTTTTGTGAATGTACTTCCCTAGATACACTTTGGCCTCCAGCCATTCATCTAGACTAAACAAGACTGTCGTCTACACGGTTTGAATGACAGTAAGATGGTGGTAAGATTTTATAAACAATGAACCCAATAAGGTATAGATTTCTAGTCACTTCCTGCTCACTGATTACAGTAAT